CGTGTTGTTCATGCCCCAGCAACCCTGGGGCAGCCCGCGCCCCACCAGAACAAATCAGTGGAAACGAAGCGGTTCTTTCTTTGGAAGCGTGCCTTGTACCTGGGAAAGTCTTCAGATCTTGGCAACGCTGATGATGCCACCTCATCCTCTCTGAGCTGCTTTAAACAGCACTTATATTTATTCTATTTACAATATTTTTTGAACTAGTCAAAATGCTTAGAATCCTTAGAACAAGAGCATATGTAAAAGGAGAACAGACCAAGCTTAAATTCCTCTCGAAGAAAGAAGCAGCAGAGGGTAAACACGGCTGTAATCCACTGATTTCAGTACATTAACAGCACATCGTAAATTGATACAGCTTATATGTTGTAATTTAATTGCACAGCGCTTGTATACAGGAAAACAGTTTCTTGTTCGAGCAGTTTGAATATTTCATCTATCTCAGGATGAATTTAGAGTACTATCAGACTAGTCTGATTAGATGAAATTACAGGCATTTAAACTACTATTTTCTAAAAAGTTACAAACTGAATGCATGAAAACATTTAAAAATATTTTATTTTGTCTCCTTCTCTGGAGATATTCAAGACCCGCCTGGACAAGGTCCTCTACAACCTACTGTAGGTGACCCTGCTTCGGCAGGAGGGTTGGACTAGATGACCCACAGAGGTCCCTTCCAACCCCTACCATTCTGTGATTCTGTGATTCTGTGGAGCAGAGGGACTGGAGGACACGCAACGGTGATGTGCAGTGGGGCCGGGAGGCTGGGGACAGCGGGGTCTGGGATGGGTCGGGGGGTCCTGCTGGGCACCACGCAGACACACCACGCCAGCACCGCTCACACCAGCGGCTGGGTTTGCTCTCGCCGAAAGGCAGTTTAATGCGGATGCCACTCACGCGTCCCCCAGGGGGAGAGGCAAAGGGACCCCCCCATGCGACCTAGAGAGAGGCAATATCGTGGTGCCAGCCCCAGCGCCGAGCACGGGCTAGTCCTTCTCTTCGCCGTGCGTGATGACGTGGACGAGGTTTTTGTAATCCAGGTTGCCAGACACATCTGGAGGGAAGGCTGCGAACATCTGGTCGACCTGCCGGGAGAGAGCCAGGGTGAAAAGGCAGCACGGGAGGGGTTTGTGGCTGGGAGAAGGGCTGGGGGCCTCTTGGGGTGGAGGGCACGGGATGCTGGCGGAGGGTGGGAAGGAGCTCGTACCTCTTCCTGAGAAAACCTCTCACCCTGCGTCATCAGCATTTCTTTGATGCTGCAAACAAGAAAGCGCGGTGAGCACCAGGGAGGCCTCGGTGGGGGTGCCAGCTCTCCCCCCCCTGGGCACCCCTGCACTCACTAGGCAGATTTCAGGCCTTTCCCCTCTGGATCAAACACCTTGAACGCGTTCAGGATCGTCTCCTCCGGGTCAGCACCTGCGGGCGACATGGCCATGGCCATCGGAGGC